TCTGCAGCTGTACAGAGAGGTCCTGCGGGCAGTCCGGGATGTCCCTGCGGAAGCTGATCGTCGCTATTTGAAGGACTGGGCCAGGGAGGAATTCAGGAGGAATAAGGATGCTACAGATGAGGTGAGGATCCAGAACCCACAACCCCGCCCCGCCCGCTGCCCTGGCTGTCCTGTACTTTGTCCCAGGGGTTTACTGTGTAGGTGTCACTTCTAGGCTGGTGAGGATTAGTACATTCCTTTTAAGGAGCATTTATGCGAAGGAATAGTTCACTATCTCTAGACATTATTCCCCCTGTTGGTGGCAGTAATGTTTCTCTGATTTCCAGATAATCTGGAATCAAAAAGCTTAAAAAAGGCAAATAACTCATTTTTAAAACCACAGATCAGAAAAAAATGCATTGAATAATACAATAACTAACAAATTTATTAATGGTCAAGCTTTCTTTTTTTAATCTTTAATTTCAGCTATATTCAAGGTGAACACAATCAAATGGGATGGTTGTGAACATGAAGTATGTATAAACCTTTGTAGTTCCTTTGAAGCAACTGGGGTTGTTTAGCCTGGAGAAAAGGAGGCTGAGGAGACCCCTTATTGCTCTCTAGAACCACCTGAAAGGGGTTGGGGAGAGGAGGGGTCAGCCTTGTCTCCCCGGTAGCAGGTGATAGGGCTAGAGGAAATGGCTGCAAGTTGTGCCAGGAAGGTTTGGGCTGGATATTAGGAAGAAGTTTTTCAGTGAAAGAGGCACTGGAACAGGCTGCCCAGGGCAGTGATGGAGTCACCATCCTTGGAGGTATTGAAACAATGTGTTCATCTGGTGCTTAGGGACATGGTTTAGTGGTGACCTGGCAGTGCTAGGTTAATGGTTGGACTCGATTATCTTAAGGGTCTTTTCCAACCAATGAGATTCTGTGATTCTGTATTTCTTGTACATCTCCCATCTTCTGCTTTCTAGTTTGTTCCCTTTTCCTAGCCAGCGCTCAAGGAATTGGGGGCTGAATTATATAGATAAAGTGTTACAGTACTTTTAGATAAAAATAACGCTGAAACATCTGCTTGCTCTGTACAACATCTGTCCTCCTATCAGCCGTGTGCAGTTGTCACTACACTTGCAAAGGCAGTAGACACAGAGGCATAAAGAAAACATTAGTGGGAGCTTGAATCCAGTTTTAAAGCAAAGCCATAACTAACATTCTAACACATCTTTAAGGAATTGGAGTAAACTAATTCATTTATTCACCTGTTTTTTTACCATGTCAGTGACAACAGTGTTATTTCACATAAAGAAATAGATCACAGTAGGGCTGGTAAGAATTGTATTTTACTGTGTTAAAATCCACGTGCTTATGTAAAACCTGTGCTGTGCCTGCAGACTTGCTCAGTAGATTCCTTTTTGTTTTACAGGATGCCATCAGGATGATGATTACTCAAGGCAACATGCAACTCCGGGAACTTCAAAGAACACTTAAACTGGCAAAATCCTGATCTTAATTTTGTTGAGAGATGGACCTTAAGTCTGCTGCAAACAAGCATAGTATTTTTTCCAGAACGTGGTTGTAATAGCAGCCTTTCCTGACAACCTGGTGATGTTTGTGGTGGCACCTAGCACAGAGAGGGTTTCTGTTTGGTTTTCATTTCCCCATCCCCCTCCTCTTCTCTGTTTGGTTTCCCCCCTGTGTGGAAATCACTTCAGAGAGAAAAGGACTTTAAAGAACTGGATGGATGATGTTGCATGTGCTGGGGGAAAAGCAGAAAGCACCAAAAATTACAACAGCAGTGTTACACCAGGGAAATGGAAAATAAATAGAAGTCAAATTATTCTGTCTGTTTTCTATTGTGACAACTCTTAAGTGGGAACATTTGTAGTGGTAACAGCTCTTTCTGTACTGGGGCATGGATTTTAACTGAAAGTTGGGATTAAAAAAGTATTTGGGATAAATAAATGGGCCCAAAACAAACAAGCATGGCAAAACATTAAGACAGTGTTTTGTATGTAGATGCTAATTTTCAGTTATAGCTGAATAAAACGTAAAAGGGGAGATCTTTACATATGAAAACAAGAGATTTTAGCCCCAGAAACAATTGCCAAGTTAATAGGAAGTACCTTCAAGTTAGTATTTAAAATTGAATATAAAGTAGAATTACAGATGGAAAATACTAACTGTGAATATTGTCGTTTGTTTTTCCAGATGTCACGTTACTCCACTGTTAATTGCTAGCTTGCAACTGCTCTTACCTTCCTGTGAATTGCAGTGTCTATTTTTTTCCCCACGTAATTTAAAAACCCCCGAGGTGAGTCTGGGATTTTCTCTATGTACAAGAGTACATAGAGACCTAACAGTCCTGCAGCCGTGTGCAGTGGAGGTTGTGGTTTCAAGAGATGCAGGAATCTCTCCCTCTCCCCCTTGGCTATTAGGGTTCTCTGAGAGAGCCACCTCCACCTGCTGAGCTGGTCACAGCAAGTCTGGGCAGTGCCCCCGCTGGCACAAGGGGTGGGACAGGGCAGTGCCCCCCACGCTTCTTGCTGGAGCCAAACTAAATGTCTTCAAAGGTAGGTACTTCAGCAACGCTGCTTTGCAAAAAGCTGCTGCTTAACAAGAAAGAACGCCTTTTCTTGGTGGTGGTGTTTTATTTTTCTGAAAGTCATTATAGAATCCTTTCTTATGATATTTACCTTTGAAGTAAAGGATGTAGCTTAGGCAACCAGTGAGGCTGTTAAAGAGGTGAGGTTTGTATAGACAGAAGTCCTTGAGCTTTAATCATAGAATGCATTGGGCTGGAAGGGACCTCTACAGGTCATCTAGTCCAACCTCCCTGCACTGAGCAGGGACATCTTGAACTAGATCAGGTTGCTCAGAGCCCCATCCAACCTGACCTTGAATGTCTCCAGGGTTGGGGCAGCCACCACGTCTCTGGGCAACTTGTGCCAGTGTTTCACCACCTCCACTGTAAAGAAATTTCTTCTTGCATCCAGTCTAAATCTACCCTCTTTTAGCTTAAAACCATTGCCCCTTGTCCTATTGGAACAGGGCTTACTAAATAAGATTGTTTCCATCTTCTAGGTCTGGAAGGCTGCAATAAAGTCTTCCTGGAGCCTTCTCTTCTCCAGGCTGAACAAGCCCAAATCTCTCAGCCTGTCCTCATAGGGGAGGTGCTCCAGCCCTCTGATCACCAGTCTAAATATTTTGTTATTAAAATCTCACTTTTGTTAACATTTTCTGTTAGAATACACTGACAGAACATTAGTGTATTGGAGACTGTTTTTCCATATTGCCAGAAAATACTGTTTAGAAAGGAATTTTGACAAAACAAAGCCATAACCAACACTGGTTTGTCCTCATGCGTTGCCTTCCCTCTCCCTTCAGCCAGTGGTTTGATTTCCACTTCTTAATTAGGAGATGTTATGCTGCCCCCTCATCTCTGTGCTTTCCATTCAGCCCCCCCACCCTGAGCCTGCATTAACTCTTCTGGCTCCAGTTTGTGCCTTTCTAGGTATTGGCTGCAGAACCCAGGACTAGGTCTTGGCAGGCAAGGCCCTGGACAGCTGCTGCCCTCAGGAGTGCTGCTCCCCATGATCTCCGCAGCTTTATGTTCTTGTCAAGACAAAAATCACCTGCCAGAAACCTTTAGGAGTCCAAGTACAGTCTGATAGGGTAAGTAAGCTTCCTCCAAGTGTGTGCTGCAGAGGAAGGTAGATAACACAGGTATTTCCTAAAGAAGTCCTTCAATTCAAGCAGTTTTGAAGGAGGGAGGATTACAAGAGGGGAGTAGAAAGGAATTAGCAGGAAATGCCTCCCTTTATTTTACAGTATGCTTGTTGGCTTCAGAAACTTCTAAAACTGTAGCCATTACCCTCTTAAATCCTGCTCCAATGGTTACCTTGGTCCCCCAGGTCATACATGAGATCAGCTAAAGCCAGAGCCCTTCCATTTCCCCTGCGAGCTCGGCCTGTGTGATGAGCTGCAGTTACTCAGCCTTGCGCCAGCAACATCGGAATGCCAGCAACCGCTGAACTGGTGGCTGCGTGCGTTAGGTAAGGGTCACACAGGCTCACTCCAGACAGCCAGGAGGCCAGGTTTCCACGTTCTGCAGCCACATTTTATAGGTTAGAAGTCCCAAGTTTCTGCTCCCCCTTCTGAGTCAAGTGAGGGGATTGTGTTCATTTTCTCTGGCTAGAAAACATCGCACCACAGACTTGTGAACAACACTTATTTTAATTGCTTGGCAAAACATTATCGAGGTGATACAAAACTTAAATAGCATGCTTCTGCATTCCTACAGTAGCTTAAACAAAACTGTAAACACGGGAAAGTGTCTATATTAGACTACGAAGTCAGAGCAATAAGACTAGTAGTTCCATAACTGCAGATAGTCTTGATAGTGCATTAATAGGAACTTCAAAAATATTGTTATATAATACAATTTTCTTTGCTTTATACATCTGCTAAGAACATGAAAGCTTACGTACTAATTAGTCAATGGTGTCTTCAATACTGTAAAGTATTTTATATTGATTTTAGGGCTCCTCTGTATAGAAAAAAATTGTCTTTCTCGGCATAGAAGTACTATCTATCTTGTGTTGGAACTGGTTTTGAACAGTTGTTCTATCATGATCTGTTAAATCAACTTACTTTTCGAAACAGAATCTGAGGGAGCCTTCTCAGAGGTATAAGGACAAAACCCTGAAGGGGTGCAGGTGCAATGAGCTGCATTGCCTCTAGCTTATTTGGAGTCTGTCAGCCTGGACAACATTGGTCATTGCAAGGGTTGATTTTATAAGAGAACACATCCATAAAAACTTTAAAATGTTGTTGAGTTCTGTTTTGTGAGACTGCTTGTGAAACCCATCCCAAGACCTCCAGTCCTGCCAGGGCCCGACCTCTCTCTTTACAGATACAAGGGGAGAAAAACAGAGAGAGAGGAATCATTTGCAGCAACCACGAGAGACAGTCTGGACAAGGTGTCTGACTCTCCAGGAAAAGAAACATTTGAGTACAGAGAATCAAGCTTTCACTTCTTTAGATAAAAGACTTTTTTGAGCTTCTTCAGCAGTAGAGAATGCAGCCATTGGCTGCTTAAAGACATTTATGTAAGAATTATACCTAACAAGTAGAGCATGGTTATGGTAAAATATTTGTCATCCAGTGCCCTAAAAAAAACCCCTTCTCAGTCAGATCACTGAAGTATAGCCCCAACTCTGTAACCACAAGGAGTTTTACAACCAGGACACCATGGGGGGAAAAAAAAAAAGAAAAATTTAATTTAACATTTGTTTTAATAATGTAAAACTGAAAGAAAAGCGAGGTGGCAGCCAAAGTCTCTGTACCTAGTGGGAGGACTCGCCTCCGCAATCTTTCCCTGCGAGAGCCTGGGTCTGTCACCTACGTGGGCTTATCATGGGAGCTGGTTCTGTAGCTTCTCTCCAATGACTAGAGAGAGGCCGTGGGAAGTATTTAAAATAGTATCAGTAGCCCTTCATCACTAATAATTTCTGTCAAAAGCTCTCAAACACCCTGCATTTATTTCACTGTTTATATCACCAGGTGTTTACGTGTAGCGTACAGTGGAACCCTCTAGGCACACGTGACCTACATGGGAAATTCCTTTTCCAGAAAGCAGTTTTGGTTTCTAACGCAGTTTGTTTTCAAGCAGCACCTGGAAACGGTGAGTGCAGTATTTTAACAGGCTCTTGGAAATAACAACGGAAGGACCTAACCCGCAGCATCGCATTGTCATCAGTACAGTCTGCGTATGAATTTGTGGTTCTGGAGTTTCCAAAGTTACTTCTCAAAAAAAGAGCGTTTTGCTTGGATGTAACAGGCACTATGAATATATACATCCACTGGTATTCCAGATTCCCACACCGCAGGTTCCAAAATGAGTCCTGTTGCTTGTCCTTACGTGCTCAGACAATGCTAGCTCTCTTTCTGCACCTTAGTCCTTAATTTGCTGAGCTCCTCTTCTAAGCTTTTAATGTGCTCCTTGAGCGCAGCTTTGTCTTGCTGCGCTTTCTGATTAGCTTGGCATCGGGCTTCTTCTATCTTCCGCTCGTACCACTTCTCCATCTGCGTGGCGACGGCCTCAAAGAAGTACTGCGTTATCTCCAGCGCCTGGGAGGTGTCTCTGAGAGGCGGTGGCGGGGCAGACGGCTGCCCGGTGGGCAGGGCAGGGGGCTGCTGCTCCTGGCTCTGATGTCCTGCAGCCGCATGGTGCAGAGCTCTGTGCCTCACCTGCCCGCTTTTGCTGGATTTCTTCGTCTGAGTTCCTTTGTCAATGAAGTAGCCGCTCTGCAGCTTGGTCTTCGCGGGTTCAGTCAGGGGCTGCAAAGCAGCTTGAACCTTAACGTGACACAATTTGTTGCCCAGAAGCTCAGAGGAGGGCAGCTCCTGCTGGAACCTGTGGAATGTGCCGGCACTAACAGCTTTGTCCTTGGGCCTGACGTCTTGAGCAGGAGCAGAAGAGGAGACCGGTCTGCCAGCACTTAACTGTTGCTCCGTACCTACAATATGTATATATTAGAAAAGCATTCAGAAATACTCACTGTTCGATGAGTGATGCAGTTTCTCATGGACCATGCTGCCTGTACATTGTAGTTTATCACATTTTCATAGTCAGAGTCATGAAAAGAGAAAAGCAGGTGCGGGCCCAGAGGCACGGCAGTGTGGCCGTAGGACCACAGCCTGGTAACAAAGACTTCAGCAGAAGGACACATAACAAAGATCAGGCTGGATTCATAGAATCATAGAACAAATCAGGTTGGAAAAGACCCTTGGGATCATCGAGTCCAACCATTAACCTTGCACTAGAAGTTCACCCTAAACCATATCACCCAGCACCCCATCTAAACGACACGAACACATCCAGGGATGGCGACTCAACCACCCCCCTAGGCAGTCTATTCCAGTGTCTGACCACTCCTTCTGTGAAGAATTTCTTCCTAATGTCCAGCCTAAACTTGCCCTCTTGCAACTTGCAACCATTCCCCCTGGTTCTGTCCCTAATTACCTGTGAGAAGAGACCAGCATCAACCTCTCTACAATGTCCTTTCAAGTAATTGTAGAGCATGATGAGATCCCCCCTCAGCCTCCTAAAGTCTGCTGGTATTTATCACACACACACATTCCCCACACCACCCTCCCTGCTCTACAAGAATTGAGGCCTCACTAATTTTGCAGAGGTGATACACTTTGATGTTTCTGAACTGTTCAGAGCACTGCAGCTCATCCTTGTGCCTCCACAAGATCTCCTGTGTGGTCTTCTGCCTTTCTAGTCTGATGGGACACTATATCCATGGCTGTTCACCGTGCACGCTGGTTTAAGGGAGGCAGGTACAACATATTTTACAGAAGCCCAGGGCTTTGTTAACATTCTCCTTGGCTGTGGAGATCTGGCCATTCTACTTGTCTCTTTGTTTTCCTCAAAAGCTTCCCTGGCCAAACATAGAGAGTTGGCTTGAACCATATCTTCAGGTGGCCTCAACCCCTAAGTGGGTTTGAATGTTCTCAGCTGTTTTTGTTCTTGTCAAATGAACTAATAATTAAAGAAGAGGAAAAACTAATAATTAAAGAAGAGGAAAAAGCAAGAGGTTTATTCTACATCCTAGCAGTCTCAATACTAACAAGGGAAATGAGTATTTTAGGTTCACGTCCTTGCACCCTGCCATTCTAGGCTCCGCACATCTGAAAAGCACTAAATACACTACACTTTTCTACTCTTTCTACAGTTTCTTCAGGAGGCTTTAGATCATCTGCATATCCTCCTGGCAGACAGCAGGGTGGGAGCAATGCTGGCTGGGAAGCTGGAGGAATTTCAGACAACAGAGTTATTCAGAGCATCAAAGGACTTGGCTTCAAAAACACAGCGACATGGAAGCAGCAGGAAGAGTCAGTGGAATATCACCCAACCGTGTCTTAAAATATTCCTGGTGGCTGCCTTGAAGTGTATCCTAATACAAGCCAAGGCATCAGGTGTAGGGATAGGAGGAAGTGTACAGACAGAATTCACATCTGTGGGATTAATACAAGCGTCCCTCAGTTAATGAACTCGCCTTCGAACACGTCACCCAAGTACCTGACGAGGTTGTACCCGACGCACCATCTTGTTGAATGCAAAAATGTTGCTTGAAGGTCTGCGCCGGCATCTGGACCCTGCTCCTTCCCCCATCGTCTGAGAGGCTGTTTGGAAGCGCGATACAGGAATGCTGGTGGGAGCCCTCCTCCTGCAGCCCGGGTGGGCTGCCCTTACCGTCCTTGGCACAGTGAGGGTTGTTCTCGGTATCCAGCGTCTCCGTGAGAGACTCACAAGTGGACAAAGTTGATTTTGGTCTTGATGACCTGGAATCCCCAGAAAGCTTGAGCTCCAGGTTCTGAATCTTCAACATGCACCAGGTCTTCAGCTCATCGACCAAGGAAATCTGTGAGAAAGAGACTGTAACTTAGATGATCCTCTGATTAGATGCTCTGGTTCCTGGGCTGCTGAGGACGCGTGGCACAGACAATGAGAAGCAAGCTAGGTAGCTAGAGGCTTGGACTCCCAGTACAGATGTGCGTGCTGCCACTGGCCGTATTTAAAGGAGTGCAAATCAGCATGGCCTAATGAAAGGTCACCTCTTCAGACCAAGCTACCACTTGTTAGATATGAATGCGCTACTTCAAATGCAACCCTGAGTCCTCTTATCGGTGAGGATTTGTTCGATCATACCATCAGTAGTACTTTCTAAGTGCAAGAAACATCACAGATGATCAAAGCTGCCATTTCTCAAGAGTGAAATTCAAATTAGCAACTTCTGACCCACAGCTTTATACTATTACCAGCCTCTGCTCCTCTGTTCATTCAGTGCTAAAGGTAAGTCCCATGCTCAGTGATAAATTGCTAAGAACTTTCAAATTACAGAGGTGCTTAGCAAGTGTCAGCTGCAGAGGCATTTGCCAGTCATCATTTAAAATACAAGTAGCTTTTCTACCCTGTCATTCATATGACATCATAAATTTACATCAGGCCCTCCTGGGCACGTGGACATTTAGTCTATGCATTTATGAAAGCCTAACTTGTTTTTCCAGCAGTTTCAGTTAAACTCAACAGAACAATAACACCTGATGCCACTCAATGGCAATTTTAATCTACTTCGTCTATTGCTCCAGTATCTCATTTCTTAAATGGAGATTACAAGGAGATGGAGCACAAACCCAGACATTCAGAAGCCAGTAAAATACTTATGCCTCTTACTATCATCTAAAAACTAAAGCCATTTTAGTTTGATTAAGTACTTTTTTTTGGAGCACAGTGTTTTGTGGATGTTAGTCCGATGTATCTTGACAAGTAGTTTGTGTTTAGGATTGTCTCAGCTGCCGGTCTTTTAGCACAGATTTGGAACAGTTTTACAAAAAGTCATGACGTTTTCCCAGCATGAAGTGTATTTTTCACTTCTTAGAAGAGTACTAATAATGAGTAAATAAATCGTATATTACATTTACCCGTGTGAGTGGAGAGACACAAATTTCTTAGCATGTTTTAATGGTGAGTTTTTGCAGAAGCTAGAAGTTTAAAAGCTGGATTTCTATGGAAGAGTCAGTCTTGCAACACTGGCTAAACAAGCACACAAGAAGAACCTGCCTATCAGCAGTAATCCACAGCTTGGAGGTGGTGCACTGTTGCCAAAGTCAGAAGGAAGAACTGCCTTTTAATACTCAGGGGAATAAAATATCAGGCACAGAAGAAGGGAGAGATTCCCAGGGCACACGACCAAATGGATAAGAAGTAAAAGGAACAACACAGGCCTGAGCCTCTGTTATTATTTGCAGATGTTCCTGCAGACATCCTTTGCTGAAACAAAAACTGAAAGCACAACTGTTAAAAAATTAGCAGTTGGAATATTTGCAACGCACTAGGTTAGACAAAAGCTATTTTGTTGTAGATCCCCCACTTCAAATCCACCGAATTAAGTTATGGCAGTGGGACTGGATTTCACATTCCCCATTTCTAATACAAAAACTTTGGAAATTATTTGGTTTAGAGCTTATGATTGATAGGAATAATTTGGTCTTTGAAGCTCTTTTGCCTGTTTCAACAGATGAGATAAATCTCCAACATTCTCTCTGCCTACTGGAACAAAACTCTTGAGCTGATCCGTCTGAGCTAACGGGGAGTAGCTGTTTCAAGCCCTACCTGCCGTTTCTCCCCCTCATTTTTTTCCAGCTCAGTGTGCTGCTGCAGGCGGTGAAGGCACTCTGTTCTCTCTGCAGACAGCCGCTCAGCCATCAGTTTGTCCAAAACACGAAGCTGGGGCGGGGAACAAAAAAAAAACCCACAATTTATCTGAGATGATCATGTTAAAAAAAACCACCTCCCCATCTTTGAACCTTTTAAGTCAAAGTACAGCCTTTATTTCTAGAAGTGCTGCCAACTACAGTTAGGTGTAGCTTGCAAAAAGGTTCAGTCACAAAGTTATGGATAAATAACAGTTACATTAAAGGATCTTGAATCTCTGTGCAAACAGGATTCAACAAGAGGCATTTTTACAATTACGAGATGGCCAGCTCTAGCACTGCCTTCTAACTTTAAGTTTCCTTCTTAGGGCCTCAAGCAGTTCAGGTTCATCATCTAAAGAAGCACCAGAAGCCACTTAACATATTAAATGTGTTTTTCTCAATAACCTAATTTGCAACTTTAGTTTCCTGTGGAACGTGTCAACTCCCTAGTCTTGAGTATTAGATTTCAGATTTGGTTTTACAACACAGGAAGCAAGAAATGAATGATGACAATGAAAATATTCATTAAGCTTAGGGTACATTTCTAACAGTCAGGTGGACAAGCAGACTTCCCGGTCATATTCTTACTTGATGCTGAGTTTTGGTTTCCATCTGGCCCAGCTTAATATTCATCTTATCTTGTACTGTCCCAAACTCGGCCTTTATCTCTTCCACTGTTGCCTCCAGCTGATTCTCCAGTTTATTTATCAGGGGCTCACAACGGCATCCATTTATCGGTGCCTGAAAGCAGTAACACATTTACTCGCAACATCCCGCTGTTCCTCTCGGCACACTTGGAACATTATCACCACCTCCTTGAGTCAGTTGTGGCTCTTCTGTACCACGTTGTGTGTCTCACCCTCCTGATAACATCTCGCTGTAGCTCAGCAAACAGCCTTGCAGTTGGAAAAGCACAGGCTAGAGGAGGATCGATCCGATTTCTCCAGACACATCGTAACGCACAGCAGCACTGATTTCACTGAGGCTACAAGCAGCGCTGAGCTCAGATCACGCACGCCAAGGTACTGTGTGCCCCGTGAGGGAAAACCATGTTACAGGCCTGTACCCCATGTTTGGACGCTGTAATTCTGAATTGTGCCCTCAAAAAAATCTAGTTTTGTGGACGTGTGTGGGTTTTGTGCACATTTGTTTTTTAACCCAATGCAAATAACATGCTTTGCTTGTTTTTTTGTTTTGTGTACTGTCTGGCAAGGCCTCACTGCTCCTGTCCTCTCAGATGACCCTTATGTGCTACATACATCGCTGCCCGCCTTTCACTTGCACCGTCCCAAGGCTCCTCGGCAAGGGAAACTGCGCTGAGCACCTTTGAATCTCTTGGGGAGACAGCTGCAAAAGGTTCCCCTTAAGCGAGGACAGCTACATCCTCATCAGCTTCCTCTGCAGTCCACAGGCAGAAAGTGGCTCTTTTTTTGGGGGGGTGAGTCAAGAGCCCAAAGTGGCTTCTCTGAATCTGTTTCACAAACAGGGGAAGGTGGTCTGCAGAGCTCTAGAGAAAGCTTCAGACATACATGTACTTATTCTGTTTGCTATTCAGGGCCTGAGGGTATCAAAGACAGACAAGCCAAAAAGAAGGGGAGAAAGGAGTGTAATGTATTCCAGGAAATACTACAGAGGAGTCTAGCTCTATTAAGGTAATTTTTGCAAATAATTCAGATTTGTATACAAATCCTATCTGCTCTCTGCACCTTTCTTCCTGCTTCCCAAGTCCTTCCTTTACAAGCCCATCCTCCTACCATCAGGTCCCAGGGGCAGGGAGATATTCCTTTTAACATATGAAACGTCCACCATCCTTCGTGATGTCTGCTATTAGGATAATCCCACAGTGCTCTGCCTGGAAATTTCCCAAGACAGCGAAATGTTGGAAAATACGGCCAGTAAAACCTTTGAAGTCTGACTTGAGTAATCTTCAGAATCTGCTTTAACTACAATAGGGGACCAAGGGGATGGCAACTGGATGTGAGAAGCTGAAGAAATTAAAGGATTGACCTCCCAGAGGTACAGGAGGTCAATATTAAGAAAATAACAATATAAACATTCACAATGTCTACAGGGTAATTTGTTGTCTTAACGTTGTTTTTTTAGAAATGTGTGCTGGCAAATACCTGCGTAACAAAACTACTAAAATAATTAGTCTCTAAATGGGAATAAATGTATGTGAGCTGGTAACTCTAGGTTTATTCGCGCAACAATTTCTGTGCAGCTCCTGCCTCCAGTAATCCCAGAATCCCAAAGACAAGTTGCGAAAACCAGGGGCCAGCTCACCTGCATCACCTTCCCGTCCTTCCCTCGGTAGAGCGTGTACAGCTGGTAGGCTCGGACCTCGTGGGGAGGGGGTGGGGACGAGCAGTGATGTCTGCTCCTGCGCTTTGGCACGTTCTGCTGGGGCCGAGGTAGCGTCTGCTGATCCGCTGGGGCAACAGGGTCTGAGAGGGCCGAAACCTGCGAAAACACACACACACCCCATTTTCCCTGTTTATGAGCCCCTGGTAAACTTCTCTTGGCAGGAACAGGACAAATCCATTGTGACAATTAACAGCAAAAACCTGATTAAAACGCTGATCCAGCTGCAGTGGTTGGCCACAGCCTCAGTGTCTGTCAGCACAATAACCACATTTCCACACAAATCTGGGTTGTGTGAACCTAAACAGCAGAATTTCCCCACCAGAAGTCGGGTTTGTCTGTGTGAGGGACTGGTAAACAAATGTCTCAAACAGTCTGGGCCTTTTCTGAGGCCCCTGGTTGGTCCAGGGCTGACTCAGCACTTTGCTGAGCCCACTGCCCCGTCCCTGCACTGGTGGAGGTGTGGGGGCGGGTAGGGCTTGGAGCTGTGGCT